ACCATACCGAACCAATTCTTCAGGATCGGTATCGGTACAATTTAAAATTCCATACCGAACCCAAATATTTGATACGGTATCAATACGAACAAATACCGTCCCACGCTCATCCCTACAACTCAATATTCCAGCATTTGATGTGGTATTCTTTTGTGAATCATAGTCAAGTACGAAATTTCAAGAAACATAAGTAAACAATATACCATTCATTACTTCCAAACAAGTACCCACTTACATAAGCATTGTGTGCACCACAACAAAAACCACTAGTGTTTTCTACCCTTAACCCAAAGACAGAAGCACATGGCAAGGTGCAAAAACCCCAAAAAAGTTACATGCCAAGTTTCAAAAACCCTACCATGTACAACTGGTACATATACCTGGGGTTGCAAAAAAAAGTTTTCAACATGAACAAAAATTGCCCAGATTATAGTGTTGCTAACAAATAAACCAAAATGAAGCAAAAAAAACTACCAATTAAAGCACTGAAGCCTTTCCTTTTTCAAGCACTTTCTTCTTCCTAAAATACTTCTTCAACAAGTGCCCATATTCATCCCTTTTTTGTTCACATGTCCTATGGTTGTGCCCAAGCTGCTTACATTTACTGCATCTCTTGGTCCCATGAGCAAAGCCCTTTTTCTTGATCTTGAGATCATCAACCCCTTCTCTCCTTTTGTGTTTCTTTGGCCTTCCCTTCTTTTTGTGTTCCCTTGGCAGATCCAATGTTGGTTCCGAGCTTTCCCCCCACATGCATGAGTCTGGAATGGGGTGGATGATTCCATCATAAAGCCCTTTGTACTTCTCCACAGAAAACCAATGGGAGCAATAGTCCTCCAGTTTCTCATTTAGCCTTAATATGCATTTAGTCGCATGTTTGCAAGGCAAGCCTGTCACCTGCCACTTGTTGCAATCACATGCATGGTCTCGAAGTCTAACTGTGAAGTTTGTGTTACCATCCATGACATCAAACTCTCCCCTTCCCGCAGCAATCACCTGGGTGCAATTTCTAGACTCTTGTTCTAACACTCTAAGTTTCTTCTCCACATATGGAGTTACTTTATTAGTCCAACTCCTACCCATTTGAAATCTTTTCTCAAACCTATTTCCTACAAGCTTTCTAATTTCTTCAAGCATTCTCAGTACTGGTTTACCTCTGTGTATGATTATGGCTCTATTAAATGTGTAACACCCTAATCCGTCCAGGTCTGCAGCCCCATTCGGACTAAAGTATTTAACTTGGTAATCGTAAAAATTTAAAACTTTTCAAACACACTTTATTAATCCCAATAATATTTTTCATAACATATACAGTACGGAGTATTCAACAATATTGCGGAAGCGATTTTAATATTGACATATCATAAATTGTTTCAAAACTTGTCACATCCATCCCGACAATCTCGCCCCATCTGCCGCCAGGATCACATTGTGCTTTCTGCTTACCTGCGTGTAGCAAATAAAACACACTACACGCTCAGCGGTAAAGCTGAGTAAGCATATCTAATGCGTCGAACATCCATATAAACTGAATCTAAATTCATAATCAAATCATTTGATATCATGCACACAATGTTCATTTCAGACATTCACAGTTTTGGTATTATTCAGTTCATATCAATACATTTTATTCAATTCAGATATTAATCCAATAGTGCTCTTAAATTATTCTTAATCTAAGGCCAGATCATAACAACGCTCTTAGCTATTCTTAGTCTAAGGCCAGATCATAATAATGCTCTTAGCTATTCTTAGTCTAAGGCCAAATCATAATTTCCATAACCACATTCTTAAAAGTCAATTATTAATCAGACACTTAAACTATCATTAGTTTAAGGCAATTGATTTCGGACACTTAACTGTAGTCAGTTAAGGCAATTGATTTCGGACACTTAACTGTAGTCAGTTAAGGCAATTGATTTCGGACACTTAACTGTAGCCAGTTAAGGCAATCAGACACTTAAACTATCACTAGTTTAAGGCAAACGATTCGGACACTTAACCCTAGTCGGTTAAGGCAACAACAATATAGCGATTAATCAACATTGGATCAGACATTCCCAAACGAGTAATCCTCTAGTTTGGTCTACGAATCCCGTTTATACATTTTTATCTAATTCATCAAATATTCATGTTTTCATAAGTCTATTCTAATACAAGATCTATTCTAGAGGTCTTCTAGATAGCCTTAACATCAATTAACTAATGGGTATATCTTAGAGTTCTTCTAGATACCGTTAACAATACAAATCGTTTAATAATTATCAATATATTCATTTTACTCATGGTTCAATCATAAATAATAATTTTAATCAGTAAGTTCATCATTCATCATCACCCATAATAATCATTCATCATAATCATCAATCAACATATCAATTGATAACAAATAGCGGTCTAGTTTTGAGTGTTAACACCCGAACATAACGTCATGCATCACATAACATTTTTATTTGTTAAAAACATCATTTTTATTGTAAAGAATCATCCTTAAAATAATTATAATCAATTGGTATCAAAAATAGGATTTTAGAGCTCAAAAATAGCAATTTCGGATAAATTTTCGGATCAGAACTTCGGGGGATCGATCCAGCCCTCTGGATCGATCCATATGTAGAGAAAATAGTCCCAGAGGATCGATCCAGGCCATTGGATCGATCCAGACAGTCTGGTTTTGGTTACTGTTCATCTTCTTCTTCGTTCGGGTCCAATTTCGAAAATACTGTTTTTAGTTACCGAACTTCAACGAAACTATATAGAGATGTTCTCCAAGGTTCATGGATCATTTTGGCATCATTAATTTATAGTTTTAACATCAATTTCATGGTTTATGATTCTTGGTTCTTCAAGCATGTCAAACACAAAACTCAACCAAACGACCGTTTATGAACGTAGAAACGATCTATATGAACATTCTAGTCACTAGATATATCTACGGGCTTACCTTAAAGCTTATTGAAGGTTTTGAGAATTTTCCGGTGAAACTTCCGGCGACGAATACTCTGTGCTCCAGCGACCTCACACAAAAGTGACAACACCAGGGCACTCCTCTCTCAGCAAAGAACAATATAGAAGCAAAATTGAATTGTTTTGGTGAAGAATGAAAGGTGTTGTGTTTGTTTATATAGTGGAGAAGAAGGGAAGAAGCCAACTCCTATTGCTTCTACGTAATTGGGATCGACTGATTGCACAGGAAGGGAACATGGCGCCGTTTCATGATTAGTTCCCTGATTGGGACTAATTTGGTCCCAGTTGGGGTACACTTTTTGGTCCAACTTTCTCCGAATTGAATTCCGTTTGCACCATTGCGATCGGACAGTCGAACTCTATTCAACGATATAATTTTTATATTTAGTTGAAATACTTTTTCCGACACCATATTTTTGGGTGGTTGACTTTGACAGAGTCAAAATTGATTCAGTTGACTTTTATTCAAAAAGGTTCTCATATTTAATTCATATTAATTATTATCATGATTTATTTCAGTAAATCATTTTAAAGTTCACTACATAACTAATTTCTTTATTTATTCTTGATTTGGGTCTGTACTCATGTTCTCAATCAAGACCACACAAATATTCAACATATTGGATTTATCTCCATGAGAGTTATCCAGATTAAGATATTGGATATCAAAATACATTTCATTCCGGCCCAAAGCCCAATAACTATTTATTTTAATCGAAACAAATTTGACTAATTGAATATTTATTCATTAAAAATTTTAGGGTATGTTTTGGGGCGTTACAAAATGACTCCACAAAGTTGTTGGTATTATCATCGCACTTCATCTCTGGATCAAACTTATGTCTTGCACAGTGAGCATGTGGTTCATTAGTATTCTTTAACCACTCGTATGCTTCTTCATTTTCTTCCTTGATCCTCTCCATTGCTCGGTTGAACACATATTCAGAATATGTGTTTGCACATATATAGAAAAATGAATGGAACCAAGCACCTACAAATACATTCAGTTTAGAGTCATCATTTAAATCTAATATACTAAACAACAGTTTAGTGACACCACAAATCTGTCATACCTGAAAATTTAGAAGCAAAGTTTTTGTAGAAATGAAGAACACAAATCCTCCTGGGTACTTTTGGAAGAACAGTAGCAAGCCCTTTTATAATAGCCTATCACATAATATCATAATGAGAACATTACTAGAATGAATGAATAGATAGGTGAGCACAAAAAATAGTAGTCACACATTCGTACCGAATGTCTATTAGAAATGATGGTGTAGGTTGAAATTTTTGGGCTACAACTAAGGGCAACGGACAAACCATGAAAGAAGTATGACCATTCTATTTCATCTTCACAATCAGCTATTCCATAAGCCAGAGGAAACTGCCCATTGTTTCCATCAAGGGCAATTGCAGTGAGCAATACACCTTGATATGGCCCCTTTAGATGGCATGCATCAATCCCGATTAAAGGTCTACAGTAGTTCTTAAATGCTGATATAGCAGAACCTATGCAAATAAGACACCTCCTAAATATTGGGTTTCTTCTAGGCCCTTGTTCCTGCCATCTAATGAAGCAGTGAGAATCAAGGTTCCTCTCCTTGAAGACATTCATATACTGTGGGAGCAGCTTGTAGCCATCTTTAAGTCTACCTTCAACCATTGCCCTCATCAGTCTCAATGCCCTCCAACATGTATAACTTGGGATGAAAGTGCTCCATTTACAGAGGACCAATTTTTGAACTGTCTCGGCACTCATACTTGTGTTGGCTCTAAATTCCTCTAACAAATGGCTGGCAACCCAAGAAGCACCTGCCCTTTTGTTATGCTCTTTGACAGAACAGACATGCCCATCACGAAAGGTCTTTATCATCCATGAATTTCCATCAATTAATCTGGAGGCATGTATCCTAAAGGTACATTTCTCATTTTTGCATACTTGAGTATATCTTCTTTTGTCATTTTTTACTTTCTTAAGTGTAATACCTTTTTGGATGATGTAGTCTTTCATAACCCGCAAAAAATCTTCCTTACAACTAAATATGTCACCAACTTTTAACTCCACCTTACCATCTATACCCCTACTCCAAAGCCTCCCTGTTTTAAATACATTGGCCATCTTATTCACAATTGATATATTCCCACAACCCTCTTCATCGTCTACCTCATTATTAAGTGCCTGCCTATATAGGGTATCTTACGATTTCCGATTCAGAGTGTGATTCCTCATCCACAGAAACATCCTCACTACTCATCCATTCATCCTTCTCACCAACATAATCACTTTCACTCTCATCTAATGAATCATCACTATGCTCATCTTCTTCCCTGTCTCTCACATCAGCTTCAGCCATATTGGGGATCGTAGGTTCTTCAAAGAACACATCTAGGACAGGTATATGTGGTTTACTAAGTGTTGGGATGTCATACGCCTCTAAGCCTTTCAACTCTTTATTGCAGAGCTTGACTATGGATTCACTTGTAAGAAATTGATGTGTTCCTTTTCCCTCTGCCTTCCTTCTGTGTTTCACCACCCTACACGCACTTTCAACATCATCATATGTGTTGGAGTCTAAATCAGCAGGTGTGTGTATAGGTGCTTGTGATATAGTAGCAGTGGGTGGGGAGGAGGCATTTAAAAGTGATTGACTAGGGCTGGATTGATGTAGGAGTAGTACTTCATGTGCCCTCTTCACGGGTAACTTTGTTAAATTAGTGCTCTTTGAGTCACAGTTTGGAATCTGACTTAAATCAACAGGGGTTATTACCAAATCATCAACCCATTGCTCAAGATCCATTATATTCAGGTCTATTGAGGTTTGGGAACTAGGCTCAACCCTCTCAGCCATAAGTTGTAGTGGACTCGCCTCTTGCAACTCAATAACAAACAACGGTATGTAAGATGTGGATAAAGCCTCCTCCCCCCAATACCCAACCATCTTATTCCAATCTAAATCAGTTGCGAGACTCTCACGTGCAAGCTCTTTGAAAATATTAAACCCTTGGGAACTTGTCTTAATTCATCAAGATACGTTATACCGATCTTTGAAAACTACACTCTGTGAACTACGGTGAAAACATTCTGATTGGAATATTATGTTGAGCCTCTCTTTGTGGACCACAAAATGGTTGATGCGATTACGTTATCTCTGAAGATTATTATCGATGATCTCATTTGACCAAACAAACTCCGTTATGACCCTACTAAGGGAATGTATGTACAACAACCAGAGAAGAAATGACGTCACAAGGATCAAGCTGAATCATACAAGCAAAAATTCCGAACCTATATGCGATATTGGTATAAGAACTTGTAAGATTCCTTACTTTATAAATTCGTGAATTGAATCACATACTGAAGATATTTTCTTCTTTCCTCGAAACGAGATTAACCATAGTGCTAAAAACGAACCTGTCATTATCATATCTTGATCAAAGTAAGGAAGTCGAATATGATTAAACAAATAAGAGACAAAGCTCGAAAGTAAATTGTTACGAAGGCTCATTAACGGTAATGAGAACTATCACGAAGGTGAACGAAGGAATGTTTCAAATACGAGATCGATAATGACGTAATTATGGTTTAACCAATGAACATGACACGGTCATGATAAAGTGAGATCACTACGAAATGTTAAACGTTGACCCTTAGAAGAATTTCGAGGACGAAATTCCTTTAAGGGGGAAGAAATGTAACGCCCCAAAACATGGTCTAAAAGTTATTCTACTATAAAAGTATTTTTAGAAACCATATTTTGACTCAACAAAACATTATTTCTATGTTTGACCAAAAATGAAGGAATTTTTGGAGTCAATGATTTTTGTTAAGATTGACTTTTATGGATAGGTCTCGAAGAGACGAATCCAACGGTTTATTTTATGAGTAAATCTGATGTACAGAGGTTCAGTTATGACATTTTAAATATGTAATTTGTATAAAAATGAGAAAAAGTCAAAGAAGTGAACTTTTGTAAAATGACTTATTGAATTAAATATTTATATTTAATAATATTGGTTGAATATGAGACTAATTTTAATTACATATCAATTAATTCAATTTTGACTCTATCAAAGTAAACACCCAAAAATATGCTGTCAGAAAAAGTATTTCAAATAAATATAAAAANAGAAACCATATTTTGACTCAACAAAACATTATTTCTATGTTTGACCAAAAATGAAGGAATTTTTGGAGTCAATGATTTTTGTTAAGATTGACTTTTATGGATAGGTCTCGAAGAGACGAATCCAACGGTTTATTTTATGAGTAAATCTGATGTACAGAGGTTCAGTTATGACATTTTAAATATGTAATTTGTATAAAAATGAGAAAAAGTCAAAGAAGTGAACTTTTGTAAAATGACTTATTGAATTAAATATTTATATTTAATAATATTGGTTGAATATGAGACTAATTTTAATTACATATCAATTAATTCAATTTTGACTCTATCAAAGTAAACACCCAAAAATATGCTGTCAGAAAAAGTATTTCAAATAAATATAAAAATTATATCATTAAATAGAGTTTGACTGTCTGATCGCAACGGTGTGAACAGATTTCAATTTGGATAAAATTGGACCAAAAAGTGTACCCCAATTGAGGTAATTTAATCAAACTAAACTGGAAGGAATTAAATAGCAGCCGCCTCCTCCACTTAGACGATCGGCCAACGTAGGAAAATCACAGAGCTCCAACACGCCACTCCCTCTCCCAGGCTTATATATAGGGTCATTCATTCTTCATCATCTCCCCACCAAAATCATCCCATTAGTTAGAGGAGAGTTCAGAGAATTGAGAGAAGCTGTACGGAGAGCTTCCCGTCGCCGGAGCAAGCCATGGTGTTCGCCGGAAGTTTCGCCATTTTTTCGCCGGAATCATCGTTTTACTTCGAAGTAAGCCCGTAGATATATCTAGTGACTAGAATGTTCGTATAGATCGTTTCTACGCTCATAAATGGTCGTTTGGTTGAGTTTTGTGTTTGACATATGTGAAGAACCCAGAATCATGAACCTTGATTTTGATGTTAAAACTTCGAATTGATGCCTCTAAAATGATCTACGAACCTTGGAGAACATTTCTATATAATTTAATTGAAGTTTGGTGATTAAAAATGATAATACTCGAAACTGACCAGAGGAAGAAGATGGTGAACAGTAGCCGAAAATCAATTATTTACTCCTAAGAATCGATTAGAACTTTGTTCAGATGAGGTGCTCGAAGTCAGAAAAACATAATCGATTATTTTATTAAAATAAATCGATTTTTATTATATAATCGATTATTTATAATTTATAAATCGATTTTAGTTAAATAATCGATTATTTATAAATTATAAATCGATTTTTAATTATTAATCGATTATTATTTATTAAATAATCGATTTTCCCACATTTTTATATATAAATAGATTATTTTATATTAAATCAACTTCAATTCGAGTTACTGCTTCGAAAAATATTTCTCAAATTATGCTCTAAAATCCTACTTTTGATACCAACTAATTATAGACAATATAAATATGATTTTGACATATAAAAACGTAATGTGATACATGACGGTAAGTTCGGGTTTTAACACTCGATACTAGGCCACTATTTGTTATTAGATTTTATGATTGTTTGACTATTGATTATGATAATTAATTATGTTGAATACTCTGAATGACGATCATGAATTGGTAAGTTGAGAATAATGAATTAATAAATCATACTATTAAGGCTACTTAGAAGACCTCTAAGATAGACCTCTGATTAGAATGGGCCTTGCGAGTATAAAACGTATATTCGGTGGCCTTGGTTAAAAACGTACGTACGGGATCCATAACCAAACTAGAGGAACTCGTTTGGGGATGCCACCCAACCCGACAGTTAGTATCCTATTGTTCGGTTTTCTAGATTTGTACCTTAAGCAAAGGCTAGTTTAAGAGTTGGTAAATCAATCGGAATATATGTACCTTAAACTAATGACCTAGCTTAAGAGTTGGTTAGGAGTACCTTAAACTCTAATAAGTTTAAGAGTTGGATAAAAGTACATTAAAACTAGAATTAGTCTAAGAGTTGGATAGAAGTACCTTAAACTAGAACTAGTTTAAGAGTTGGTAAACATTAAAAAGATTGGCCTTAGACTAAGAATAGTTTAAAGATATTATTGAATGAGGATGTTGAATGTTGAATATGAATATTGAATGACGAATGTTGAATATTGATTATTGTATATTTGAACTGAATACTTTGTGCATGATATCAAATGATTTGATTATGAATTTGGGTTCAATTTATATGGATGTTCGACGCTTTAGATATGCTTACTCAGCTTCACCGCTGAGCGTGTAGTATGTTTTATTTGCTACACGCAGTTTAATAGAAAGAATGATGTGATGTGATTCTAGAGGCAGACGGAGGCGAGATTGTCGGAATGGATGTGATGGTTTTGAATTAAAGAACATAAATAAATTATGTTTGTAATTATGATTTGTTAAGCTTCCGCAATATTGAAAACTCCGCACTGTATATGTTATGAAAAATATTATCGTGATAAATAAAAGTGTTTGAAAAGTTTTAAATTTTACGATTACCAAGTTAATACTTTAGTCCGAAAGGGGCTGCAGACCTGGACGGATTAGGGTGTTACA